TGACCTTGAGGCTCTCGCTGTAGTGGAGCTGTTTTTCGAGTGTTTGCGACCCTATATGTGTATGGGAGGCCATTTCAATATACACTGACCATACGGCCCTCTCACCTATGTGTTCTCCCCGCAAAACAAAATCGCCACGTATGAGACGGTTGCCCATGAACTGAAGTTTTATGGGATTTCAAGCTCGATCAACCGTGGCCCCGCAAATTATGTCCCTGACCTGTTGTCGAGGCCTTTCCACAGACGTCTTTTGCCATGTTCACCAGTAATGAAGGCCACTTGCTGTTGATGAGGACTCATGTCGGAATAACCCGACACTCCTGTCAATCCTTGCCACCTCGCCTCTGCAGTATTACGTGAGCATCAGTTGAAGAGGACCTCTGAAGGAGATCATAGAATTTCTTAGAGGGCAAGAAACTAACTCGAAGGGCTTTGCCAGCATCCCTTCAAGAATTCGAACTTGATGACCTGGCGTTTTGTATCGCCCTGAAATCCTTGCCAGACCGTACTATTAGGCAGTTTGCGTTTCCTCATTCGCTGCAGTCACAAGCCTTCATTTGCTCATGACCAGCTACTGCGCTCACCCCTGGTGCTCTAACGCTACATAAACCACAATTTGCAAAATACCTACTTCTTTCCAAACATGTCTCGGCTATGCAAATGGTATGTGCAGCACTGTAACAGTTTGCCAGCCAGGAGGGGGTTTTGTCCCCACGTGAGCGTGCCAGAATGCAGTGTACGCCTCCACCTTATTGGCCCATTGGAGCTTGTCCGCCGATCTCATGTATCTCCGAGCCTCTTGGTGGCTATCGTATGTTCTGTCAATATGGATCCATCATCCAGAATTCTTCAACTTGTGCCACTCGGAATAAAACCTCAGAAACGTTTTTTCTTCGTGGTTTTTATGATCATATTTTAACTCACTTCTTTTTGGACCACTCGACAGATATTGATCAGACAATGGGGGCGAGTTTGCTACTGAGCAGTGGCAGAAGTGTGTAGACAGCTAGAGAAAACAATGTTCATTTACCATAGCTTATCATCCTAGTTCAATGGTTTAGTTTAACGACAAACAGGGTTTGTGAAGATGCTCTAGCTATGCTTGTGGCTGATAAACGGGAGGTGGCCTCTATATCTGACCTCTGTAAGCTAGCCATACAATTCAGGCCATACATCTCTCGGTGGCGACAACCCCTTTACCTCCTACTGGAAGATGGCTGATTTCCCGGGACTAACCAACCAAGTAACAACTGATCCTACTCGTTATGGTACAACAGCTAGTAGGGCCAGGGCAGCTGTGCTATTTCTGCCTCTCTCCGTTCCCGAGAGGCTAATGTACGGGCACATAATCGAAGTTTCGCTCACCTGGAGACCGAGGAAAGGTGCGCTCGTCCTCCGTAGAGACTTTACAGCAGGGGTGTTACATGACATGTGGCAAGGGCCCCCCTTCGAGAGTGATAAAGCAAATAGGTCCGGTAGTGTTTCGAATTAAAGATCTTCAACCCCTTTATCGTGTAGTAAAGCAGCATAAGATCAACGTGAAATGTTTATCTTCCTCCTGCAGATTAGATTATTTTGATGTGGGAGATAGACTGCCTTCTGACTTCAGGGTTTGACGATCCTTTGCCATGCAGGCCCCCGGACGTAGCAGCTCCATCTATTGCCAGATCCCGGTATGAACCAGACGGAAAATGAACATGGTAATTCGGAACCGCTGAACAGGTTTCCCGTTATAACGAAATCCATTTACTCTGAAGAACTAGTACAGAGTCAGATAGTGAGTATGGTGACTATGAGGTTTGGGACGGAGTGAATGATATGGCGTGACTGAATATGTACTGTAATGTGCTTGTTTTTAGTCGCTCGTTGTCGAGTCGTAGTTGTTCTTATTTGTTATTTGTTCTATTTTACATGTTTTTAGTAATTTTAAAGGATTTGCTTTTGCCTTGATGTTTGTTTTACATTTTCATATTCTAACTTTACATTTTTATTGTCTGATGTTCGTTTTTAAACGTTTTCTATTAAACTTGTACATTTATTGTATTGATGTTTCGGTTTACAGTTTCTATTCTTAATCAAAGTTTAGATTAAGTTTGTAATACTTGTGAACCACCTGCCACATCAAAAGTTCAATTGCATCAGTTGGGGACTCTAGTATCTACATATATGCCATGTTGACCTTATGTTCTCTTTCAGTTTGCTGTTCATGTTGTATGTATTTAATGCCGATTATGAGCCCCCAGGCAACCCCTCAGCCTTAGCGTGAGAAGAGAAGGCGACCCCTCGCTCTGGTGTGAGATATGGCGAAGGCCTGATGTGTATGGAGGTCGTAGGGCCGCTGAAATATCGGACCATACCCCACGCCCGGAGGGTTGTAGTGGGACTATTCGCCCACTCCTTGTCCTACCACGGTACCCCCCCCCTTTGGTACAAGAGTCCAATGAAGAGTTTCGACGTCTTTTTATGTATTTGAATTTTATTCTACGAGTGGAATGCGGGGTGCCGGGGGGGGGGGGGCCAGTAAATTTGTAACTCGCACTTACTTATGCTTGGCTACGTACCGCAACTACGTTCACACCATTCAACCCTCCCAGTATTTGTGTGAGGACACTATCTCACCAGGAGGATAGTGTCACGTAAATCTAGGTGTGTTGGTGATGGCGTCTGCTAGTGAGGGGCGTTCAGCCAGTGGGTCTGTCCGCCAGTATGACGTCATAAACCGTGACAAGGCGCCACTCACGGTTATCCATGTCTCGAGCATTTTATCCAATACCCTGGCTAGGGAGCGTAGATACCCCCCAGGTACTTTGAGGTACCGCAGGTCTGTTCCTCGCCTCCTTACTGCTCGGAACCCGCTGCGATTTTTAACAAAGGTCAAGGGTTAGTATTATGTATTTTGCCGGGAATTCACCACTGTAATGTTTGAATCTTTAGCGACTGGTGCAAGGGTGGTGAACATGTAGCTAGGCTCTACGACTAAAATAAACAGGCAAGCAGCGCTTTGGTATTCCTCATTTACCTTGGCTAATTTAGTGATGACAAGTTTCAGTATAAGTACTGTGGATATAAGTACGCCTGCATTACTTAATTAGCTATGTGGATACAGATAAATTATAGTGCAAATCTAGTTGAATTTATACACCAGTATTAACAACTTGTTTTTTTTTCTCGTATGCTAATGCCGTGACCTGGACTCCCCCGCTCACAACCCGCTTTGGCCGCTACCACATACATGCCCGGTGTACGATGCGTGGGTGCCAGGTGGTGCTCGCATCAGGTAATCCTGTCAATAAGTGAGGTGCAATCAGGTCTCCAGGGACAGTGACTGGAATTGTCCAGTGACAGGTTTATTTAGCATTACTGCGTTTACGTTACCTTACAAAAGCAGTAATAACCGTGGAATGCACTCACATCCACCGGTGCCGCCGAAGTGACCACGCAGCGGCACACCCATGGCGGTCGACTACACCTCTGAATCTCGAATGCACTGGTGGCGACACTGGTGCACTGGTGTACTGAACCTTATCATGCGTTAATACTATTTTTATTTCTGTGTTAATCTAATCAATTCATCTATGTTTGTTCTTTTTAAAGA